AGTGCGTCAGATTGTTTATAGTGAGGAATATGCCCTAAGTGCCGCGAGGGACTCCGTCAACAGAGTCGTCCTCACTATATCTTTTCTTTCTCAGGTGCCGGTATGATGTCCGAGTCGTTCGGCCAACTGATGTAAGGGTTAGACCCAAGTGGCTGGCGCGGCCTGAGCCCGCTCCTGGGCGGGCTGCTACACCCTATCCATATACGACATTTGTTACCACGTGCAGCCCAAATAACACTCGCCGTACCCGAATTCGGTTAGGGTGTTGATGCAGTACGACTCTCTTGTGATCCGTTGCAGTAGGCAAAAATTGCACATAAAATCAAATTAACTGTAAGCCTTTCACTCCCGCGCCTTTATTCTGACCACATTAAAACAACATAGGAAGGCCAGGAAATTTATTTGAAACTCAAAGACAACCGCCTTTGTCGTTGGTTTTCTGTACCAAACTGAGGCGTTGATTCGTTTCCAGAAATTCACTAGGCAGTCCATGGGTCCCGCGGTTATACCCTTTGATGAGGCCTCTGCATTCTACCATCTAGTCAAAACCACAACTTTCGTATCTTCGCACAGGACGAGGACATTTTTTCAAGTCATCAGATAAAGTAGCTTTGAAAGATCTTTTAAATTCAGGGAGTCCTAATGAGGACAGACTTCCGTTCAACTCTGCCGGTAGTGCAGTGGACACTGCGGAAACCGACGGAAGTCTTCGCAGTCTACGTGACGTGAGTTGGGGGCGCTGACTGCTTCCGGCTCTTCCTCTTAGTCCCGGCCGTGGACACGCCCTTCCGCTGTACGAAAAGTTTCTTCCTCCGTTTTACCCGTCATGTGAGACGTGCCTATTTTGGGATGAAGCACTTCCTCCGCTAGAGGGTGGGCTTCGCCACCAAGCAAAAGGCACCTACAGATGCACTTACAAGGTAAGGCAGTGGGGCAACCGTGCGAGAGTACTGAGCACAAATATTTGCAGACTTTCAACAGTGTTTTAAGATTGGCAATGTCATCTTGTAAATAACGCACTTCGTCCCGTTTTCTCCTTACTAGCAACACCGTAATCCTGTCCAGATAAGTGATTTGGTCCTTCGGGTGCTGGGAAAGGCTTAAATTCTGACCTTTTGACGCACAATCAGCAGCAAGTCTTATGAAATGTTGACTGAAATCATGAGATATCTTTTTGATAAGAAAGGATTCCCCAAGTGGGGTTCTAATATCGATTATTACACATGTAATTTCAGGATATTCTATTCACCCCAGAATGCCAGTTTTTAATGCATTTTTCTGTTTATTTTCGAAGCTTTTATAAATTTAAATATCTGTTTAAAAATACAATCAAAACTATTCTCCTTATATTTGTTTGATAAAAAAATCGCTTCCCTCTCAAACTTTATGGTCAAAGGAGGTGCTGATTTTAATAAAGGTTTCAATTATGAAAGTTCTAGGGATGTGGAGTATTATTACTTATTATGAAGTATGCAACATAGTCCATATATGTTGCAAAATTTTAGTACTCCTAAATGGTATTTTTAATGCTTTTGAAGCATATATTATTGTCCTTATATGGATAGCATACACCTTGGATAATGTAAACCCCAAAGCAAGGTAACGGCTGATCCGCCGAAAGGTATTCGGAAACCGGAAAATGTTTTGAACTTAAATATACCCTTTCTAAGGTGTAAAGCTTGACGGAGATTGGATATGCTAGCAAATGAGTAAAAAAACATATTCGTATGCATATTGTCTGTAAAATTTATTTTAATTCATAAGGACTTCAAAAATAAATATAAAAATCATGTTCATTGTGCAGTACACTTTTAATGATTGCGGTTATTGCAGGCTACCGAAAAAAACCAGGCATCCTGATGGAAGTGAAATGTCTTGGGATTACGCAGCATAATACTTAGTACTGCAACCCCATTTAGATAATCCCTCCTAGTTGGTGATACAGTTAATAGAGTCGACTGACATTTCTCGGGTAATGGTAAGATTTGACTACGTAGCCGCACCGCATGAACATAATACTGTTTGAGTTAGGCTTAGGGGCAAGGTTAAGGGGTTTAACTTAGGGGTTAGAGTTAGGGGTTAGGGCAATTATTTCTCAACCACTCAAAGTAAACCGTGCGCTCCCAATAGCTTTTCCTTTGCACGCAACTACTTTACCTCGTCGTTTGTGCGTTCTCCGGCCCCATCTGTAAAAACCCCTATTACCACCGGTTCTCTATCACAGGTGGCTGGGTTTTTTTACCTCAGGCGCGACTACATAACCACATCTGACCCACGTAATTTTTCACTGTGACTCCAACTCGAGTTTGTACGTCGATCTGGGTCACTTTGTGCTGTTCTTGCGTGTTCTGCACCAGTGTCTTGTCTTTCACCGGTACAGTTGTGTTAGCCGACGTCTTAAGGGACCTTAAATGGCGGATCTCGCCTCTGCTTTCGCATTGTTAGGTCTAGAATCTAGCCGCAGGTCAACCCCAATGCAATGGATCACCTAGTTCAGGCATTAATCCAAAGGGTCGTCAGCTGTTCAAAAGAATGGGGTTATAATCTTCCGGACAGCTATGACCTAGAAGGACGGCTCGTCTACTGTCGCCCAATGAAAATACTGGAATCGCAACCCAGAATGCAGTTCCAAAGGTCGTGGTTAGGGAGTTTGGTTCTGTCACAGGACTGACGACTGTACTGCAAAGGTTTGATGACATTTGGGGACTCGAAGTGTATGCACGTGTGTGAGTGGAGATTCAAGTCTGCTCTGTACATACCGTTCGATATGAAAACCAAAACCTCAAGATATAACTACTCAGACTCAGCCCCGAAATCTATATAAACGCTTACTCTGAGGGCCATCATTTCTGTCATAATAAACGCGCGACGCACAATTGTGCATTAAAACTCCAAAGTTAGGCCTGAATGGTCCAGCTCTGCCCGTACACATATTTCCGTCAAAAGAAAAAAAAACGGATCAGGAAAATTAAATCGCACATTGTACACCTGTGGACCCGCTGATATGTCCTGCATCATCAGAAATGCTTGCGAAACCGGTCTTCCTCATCTTAGGTGCGCCTGCGCTCGGGCATGGTTAGTCGACTTGCTGCGTGATTGTGTCAACTCCTGAAAATTCAGCTATGAAAGGGGCTGAACAGCAGATGCACTCAACCGAAATGGGGGTCAGGTTGCCTAATGTCCGCATTGGGTCCCATGAGCCCATAACTACTGTCGTACACGAGTAGAACACGCCTTAGACGACGAACTGCACGTCACGCGGACCGCCGCGCCCAATCCCATAACCAGATGGCTGACAGACAGTGGACAGTGTGCTAGTGTCTAGAAGAATGAGGACAAAGTGAGGACGACTCTGAGGATGGAGTTCCCATGACATTTACGCATATTAGTCTCTACGAGCAATTTGACACGCCTTCAAACTATCACGGTGTGCTAAAATCCGTGACGTGGTCGTCTACCAACTGACGGAATAACTCGGTCCTCCTCTGAAGACGGCGTGTCAGGCTACACTGGCTTCGTCAGAATGTGATCAGTATACCACTCTCACTCAGTTGGGATTCGAGTCACCGCTTTGTTTTGACTAAAGCCTGGTTGATCAAGTGCGGACCTAGGGGGGGGGGCGGTGTAACAGGCGCGTACGAGCTGTTTAATTTTATCAGCCACTGCACCCGATCCCCGTTTTGGTCCACTTGCCACTGTTATGACGCTCGGCCTAGGTGGGCGAGGACGGAGAGAGTGCGGTAGATGCAGCGCAAGTCGGTTACCATTGTAGATTACTCCAAACTCAACTCAGCTTCTCTGAGTCCACAACGCTATGAGACACATGGTGGACACCACCATTCGAAATGGTTGAGCTGTCTACCCCAGGGTCTGTTCGTGTGCCTGTGTTTCTGTGCTCAGGCGTTCGTATGGTCCTCTATTAAGTTCCCTGATTATCATCACATATCGTTGCAACGTCCTCGTCTCGGAAAGCTTCCCTTTGAAGCGGTCCATCAGACCTCAATAAAAAACCTTCAGATAACTCCTTTAACTACTGCGGAGTTTTCATTACGCACTAGTGGGCCAAAAAATTTGTAAAAATAATTTTATTGACAGGATATCCAGTGTTGCAAATTTGTGTCTCGGCTTTCAAACTTTTCTCTCCCGATGTGTCGTCCTGAGTAAATTCCCTCGGACTAAAGAATTCCAAATTCATGTCGACAGGGCAAAGCAAGTTTATATGATGTGTACAAAGGTCAGAAGTAGCCGTTCTAGAGTCCCTTGTCCCGGTTCCACGTTTTGAACAATTATGTAGCGTCGACGACAGCTGTTATCTTTGGGTTCATGTTAAGACTTAATAACCGGGACAGATGTCTCAGTTTCTGAAAGCTTTTATCTAAAGTGTTCGATGTCCAACTAATCCGGATGTAAATCCCAGCTATTTAGAGCTTGCGATTGGAATGCAGCTGCCTGGTGAGGTCAAATAGCGCAGAAACACGTATGCTGATATCAGCCGTTTTCCTCAATTGTGTTTAATTTTAAGTTAGTTTATTTCAAGGTAGATAATAAACGGCCTGAACGCCAGGGTATCTGATTCCTTAATAAACTACAGTAAAGTCTTGAATTAGTCCCTAACATTATGAAAATAAAGATTCGTCTTGGACAGTTGCCGCGGCTGTTGCCAAAAGCGTCCGGTTTTACTCGGAATTACAATTCTCCGTTACCGGTAGCAACGTCTTTTCGCCGTTCGGAAAACCGTGGGAGTGGCTTTTGGAGTGCAGTGCATCCTAATCGCACGTTTGGAGTTCTAAAACACTAAAACACTGATCCCACGTTTCTCGGGCTAAAAAGTTTGGAGTTCACTCGAAGGTGGACATATTTTCAAACTGTAATTGCGCCAATCGATTCCTCCTTAAACCATATATATACCGCTATCATGCCGCTTATGGATACAGTTACGCATTTTTTTCGGAAGCTGTACAAATAAATGCATGGAGATTGGGCAACTAACAGAATGCGGGCTACTGCTCACCTTCAGTCAGTTGATCTGGCTCCTCAGCGATTCCGGCAGGCAGAGTCGGTATGTACCCCATCGCCTTCTCCAGATTCTTGTTTGAGTTGGGCGCATAACGACAGTCCGGGTTGGTGTGCATCAAATTCAACATATGGCGCAAATGATAATTCATAACATTGAGAGGTGGGTTGTGGCCAGGAGGTCGGACCTCCTTCCGAGGCACTGCTGCATTGGTCGCTGCCACATCCGCGTTTACGGAGGCTGCATCACTGGCTCGCCTTCCCAGTTTTTGCGCAGCAGAATTCGCGCTGACTGACCGCATAGGCTTCAAAAACGAAACTAAGACTGGAACTGCTGGATTTCGGACGTTGGGACTATCGTTAATGTTGGTACAACTTTAACTCGAAAACGTGCTTATTCTGGGGATGCAAGGATCGAAAATAGGTAGTGATATCTGGAAAAATGAACTGCTCTTATAGTCGTCGGCCTCGATTCTTCGTGATGCTTGGATTAAAGGGAGAATTTGTATTTAACCAGCTAGCTTGATCAGCCTCTCCTCACACTACACAGCGTTCGGGCTTTCGTCTTCGTTTGAGTTAATGCTAACTACTATCTGATTGAATGTTGACTCTCTTGAATGTGAACCTCTGTGCATGGTCTTGCTACTACTGCGAGCATTCTGGGGGAAGGCGTGAAAGTTATTTTATGTCGGTATGAAATCTCACAACAGTCAGTCGAAAGCGGTTAGTTTGACCAGGCAACAGGGGGAAGGGCAAATCAAGATGTCACAAGTGACAGACCGTCAGCCAGTTGCCGTCCCTCTAGCTGTACGCTGACTGTACTACGTTTTCTGGAAACTTTATTACCTGTCTGAGAAAAAGGCAACTCAGGAATCGAAAACCACGTGAGTAAATATCTAGGATCGTTCTAAAATGAAACCGTGCGTTGGCGAAATTAAGCATATCTCCTCCTGACAAAAAACGTCAATGCTTTAGCCGTTTCATTCAAAGGCTTATGTAAAAGCGCTTAAAAATGCTAGCAATGCGACCACATTTCTGCAAACGGTACTTCGACGCATGAGCATCATCAGATGAAAATAGCGTATTTGTTGACGCTTTATCTCGCCATCATTCTTCCTGCACAATTAAGACACAAACCACCAACATACATCACGCGCCGGCCTCGACGATCCCGTGTTGATCGATCGCACAGGAACCGGCGCATCGGCCTCAACTGTCCACACGCATGTAGTCACCGCATAGGCCTAGTAGGCCACACGCGCATCCAGGAAAACTTACGGTAGAAATCCTCCGGTCACCCTCTGTCATCACATACCTCCTTATCAGCACGTTCATCACGCACGAACTCCTCCTCATTATCCATCACAAGCATGGGACCAGCACCTTCCACACAAGTAGGAATTGCGTTCCCTGGACTCTCCCCTATGTAGCCCCTCCGCCATTCTGACGCGTGTTTGGTGTGGCCGGATCGTTTGTGTGTGCGTGTGTGTGTGACATGCCCATTCTCCGCGGCTATCAACAGATCGGCTCGGACAGTGACTGAGGTCTGAGAATGGTGGAGAAGAGTGAGGTCGACGGCTCAGCGAATTCTTCTCACTATAAACAATCTGACGCGCTTTTAAGCTGTCACAGTGCTCTAAAAGCCGTGGCTTGGAAGGCTGCCAATTGAGGTGATAACTTAAACCTTACGGTCGACCTAGTGTTGTATTTTTGTGGACCGACCGGCTGGTGGTCTGAGAGTCAGGCTGCAACGGCTCCTTCTTAATGTGGCCTTTACGGCACTCTCACTCCGTGCGATTCGAGCCAGGTGTGACAGCACACCTAGGTGCGGCTTCGGCCGTGCCAGTCACCCTTTTTGTTGTTAGTTTAAAAACCTGGTCATTTGTTGTGTGGACCAGGGTACGTGGAGTGGAACGCCAAGGTGCGGACTCGACCGTGCCATCCACACGCGCCCTCCCCCGTCTCCGGTCATCTTGATTCATTCTCGATACCTGGCCCAGGTGGGAGGAGGAGAGAGTGAGGTAGACGCTGTGCAAGTCCGCATTCATTATAGACTAATTAACGCCCAAGTCATCGTGTTTGCATCACATTGTTGTGGAGCACAACGACGGTCAACCTGTCATGCGAAGCATGCGCAGACGGGTTGACTTTAGCTCTGCCCAGTCGCCGGGCTCAATTCCCGCGTCAGTTAACTGACGGACTCGAGTGACCGACTAGTGCACGGAAAAGGGAAGAGGAGGTGAGGTCGTCTCTATCGTCATATATTCCTCAACACAAACAATCCGAGGTGCTTTTAAACTACCAATTTTCGCTAAAATCCGTGTTCTTGAAGGCCGCTTCCCGGGATGGAGAGTCAGAGTGTAATGGCTCCGGATAAATGCGACCTTTATAACACTCCCACTGGCCTGGCATCCGAAACGTCTACCCCTTTTTGTTGCGTGAAATCCTGGTCTTTGTGCGTGGATCAGAGTGTGTGGCGGCACACTTAAAGGCAAGTTCACGTCGCAACAGCTACCCGCACCCAACCTCACCTCCGCTCTTCTTGGATCTGTGTTGACACCGGACCCAGGTGGGTGAGGAGAGAGTGCGGTAGGCGCAGTGTTAGTCTACTTTCATTGCAAACTAACTCGCACGCAAACCACTACCCCCTGCGCTCCCTAAGCCGTGGACATCTCCGGTGACGGCGATCGAACTGTAAGAATACAAACTAGATTAGGCTATGTGATCCAAAATGTCTATACTGATCTTGAAAATATAGGAGTCTTTAGATATGACATCTTGCTTAGATTTAAAACTGATTATGTCTGACGTCCCTAAGCTCAATCCAACTCACAATTTTGACAATCAGACTAACGTAAAAGTAGTAAAAAAAACATCTTACATTAGCATTCCTGATGCAAAGGCATACGCAACTTCCGATGTTCAGGCGAACTGTCTACATACACATTAAGTATAGAAAAGCGTTTCTACAAAAGGCGAAGGGGCGTGAAATGACGAGTTCGAGGTTGTTTATCGTCTTCACGCAATCGTGCTCCGAATTCGGCATCACTCTTAGTAAACCAGTCATTCTCAAAAAACTCCAAATCTTGATCTGTGGTCAAGTTATGGTTCACAGACGACGGGATTAATATGACGATACGAGCTTCTTCCGCCTTTTCGGACCTTCCTCTCTTGCCAAGTACTCCTTGTTGTTATGCAGGTGTTCGTAGTGGGTTTATTCTGGCGTCGCAAGACAACGCAGATTCGCTCACTCTTAGTTCTGGAGACACAGCAAATCAAGGAGCGTTCTTTAGACCTAATTATTTTTCTCCAAACTGGAGGGTACCGCAGCACGACATCTGGTGGAACAGTAAGGACGCATAATAAAGATCAACCATAACTCCGCAGATCTCAAATAATTTCACTGGATGAAGGCCCCCGTACTCTAACTGTAAGAGCAGAACAAAAACATAGGAGTTTGCAACTTATGAGTTAATTCTCTTGGTCTTAAACCAGAAAATATACATGGGTTTGCCAACGTTGACTGTCACTGTTAAGACGTATCAAAAGCCTGTTGACAAAATGGCTGTGCTGCGGTCGATTGGCACCCCGTGGAGTGATAGGTATCATCAGTTAGTCGGGCACTCCTACTTAATGATTTGCTGTGGAAGTATGTGCCCCCACGACAGAACTAAGCTGTGGCGTTAATCCAAGATGGAAATCGCATGTGTGCTATTAGACGCGCCGGACCGGGGTTTCCACCGAGACTGTTCGCGGTCGGGTTGACTTATGCTTACAGTTGTCGCTATAGAAGAACAAAACTGGGAAAAGGAGAAGAAGAAGTAGAAGAAGAAAAAGAAAAAGAAAAAGAAGGATGGGGAGGAGAAGGGAGGGGAGGAGGAGGAGGAGGAGGAGGAGGAAGAAGAAGAGGGGAGGAGGAGGGAGGGGGTGGAGGAGAAGAAGAAGAAGAAGAAGAAGAAGAAGAAGAAGGACGAGGAAGAGGAGGAGGAGGAGGAGGAGGAGGAGAAAGCAGACACCAATAGACAGTGAATTTTGCGCTGCGTTTCCTTGATCTAAGCAGCCAGACGCAATTTTAACTACCAGGATTTACTAATGATCTTTGCATGGTAGGTCGGTATCTGACTGGATAAGTTAGCTGCCCCTCTTATTGAGAGAAAGGCCGCACCGGTTGCTTTATATGTGCACCGAACCCCTATGACAATAAACTGGTGTTCTGCCGAAGTGCCTTTGGCGTGCTTGTGTGGACCGGCACATCCAGACGTGTATTTAATCGCTGTGACCATGCATTACAGTGGGTGGTATATATCATGAAGTGTGCGTGGCATAACGCGAAATTTCTAGTCCGCGGGAAACCGGTTCATACACATCGATTAAAATTCCCCACTAATAATGAACAACCTCTGTCTACATTGAAATTCAAAGTAAGTTTTTAACGCAAGGTTATGTTTGTCAGAAATAACAATTCACTTAAGAAACACGAAAATACGGATAACCAAACTATACACAGAAAAGGACTGAAGACTATTTATAAAAAATGTGTAAAACTTTTCAATGCAAACAATTAAGCAGATGGGAACGCACTAGCACATTAATCAAAAAATAGTGTTATGTACGATTTTGACAAAACCTCGTTGAATTAATGACATCTGACGCACGGGAAATGGCGAATTTTGTAATTTTAAGCATGTGATTTAAAGCCTTGTTACGAGAGATCGGTGGATGTTTTCTGTTTTGAATTTTATGAGATGAGGCTAACTGACGCAAAGAGGATTTGTTTTGCGTTCACCGATAAGAACATCAAAGGAATTAGCGTCTACATAGGGTCACATGTCAAGATGCCGGTCGGTGATTACGAAATGTGGGGCATAATTAACGGATGCGATCATAAGCATACCGCCTTAAGCATATCACGAGAAGTTTGCTTCCGTTAAATTAATGTGTAATTTTTGCTGGCGGCAAAATCAACTGAGCTTAGGGATCGCCCGGAAATATCAGCGGACACACTAGACTTTCAGGCTTCTCAATCGATTGCCTGAAAAGACGGCGTCTGTTCAATGCCTTAACCAAAACCTTCAAAATACGATATATGTTTAAAGCCCTTACCGAAGTAAGTCGTTTTTGGGCATATTAAAAATCCCCTTCTGCGTATATCAAGAGATTTTGTCCGTAAAATTGCCATTGCTTGTCGGTGAGTTTCTTGACGTCCTTGAAACGTCAGCGGCTAATTAGAGGTTTTCAGTGTTCCCAATTGACTGTCCAAAATAACAGACTACGTGACTCGCGTCCATCAAGGTCTAAGTAGTGAGTTCTCGAGTGTGCTTTGTTATGCAGATGACGGACTGAGACATAATTTTAGACTCGCGCAAACGTGAAACATGATTGCTGAGAAAAAGGAACGTTGACAACGAAGGCCCGCAGCGGATATGCTATTAATCCAGTAAAAAACGGTCTACTAATTTGCCTCTTAAAACCTGCCTTATTGGGGTATTTTAGGAAGGAACATTCATGCCTCTCATCCTTCCCAAAGTAAAACAGGTGGAAATGTCAGAGTATCTTGCTCGCTTCTGAGTTTAATTGGCAAACATTGATGACGTGTTTCGTCAGAAGTGAAATAACTACCTCTTCCTTTTGTACCAGAGCAATTTTCGCTATCCTTGCTTCAATCTCCAATGCTAAACGCATCGCGGAAGGCCAATATAAATATCGAAATATTTATCAATCTGTCAAACCTGTGTCCTTTTCATTTTTGATGTACCTGTTAGCAGAAGTTTAACAACACGAAAAATATCTTGTCATTTGCTCAAAAGAAAAGATAACTGCTGTATGTTAGGGGTTTCGCAGTTACTAATGAAATATTTACCTAAACCCTAACGATAGGGGTAAATTTAAAAAGGGGCTTGTTTTCATGTCGTATTACTGTTTCTCAGTGCAGCAAACCATAAAAATTTAGGAATCCGACTCTCGGGACAAGAATCATTATTCATTTTCCAAAAGCTACAGACTTTTTCAAATCCTGGTTCTACTGACTTACGCGGGCCAACGACGTGAACACAGGTTTTTTTGTTAATCTTTTCCCCTAGGATAAGTGCCCTATAGTTTAAAATTAAGTAATTTTATACAAATATGGTTTGTAAGAGTTATCTACCTAGGGAGCTGTCTTTTCACAAAGAAACATTGATTTTCGCCGCAGTTTATCAACTTCTCCCTCATAAAAGCATGTAGAAACAAATTCCGATTAAAAACAAAACTTTTTCGGAACGCGTTAAGCGTGTTAGCAAAATGCACACGATTTGACATGTTTCGAATTAATTGTCCAGTTTTCTGCCACCACCTAACATGAAGTACGTCAACTACTGTGTCGCCAGACGGCCCGGTGTTAGCTCTCCATTGAAACGCGCTGGATATGCTAAAGTCTTATTCAGGATAGACGCATTAAGGCTCAGGTCGTCACAGCGTCCTCTGAAAAATAAATGTTCCCGTCGCTTAGAACGACCGAATCATTGTGATATAGACAGGTGAAATCAGTATGACCTTTGTATGTGCCTGCCAAAGTCGAATAAACTTGGGGTATGAAGAGGTGAAAACAGACAGTCACTTCTTATAAATAAGATAATATTTGCATTTATATTTGGTTTGCTTGCAACACTTTTTGCAGAGTCAAAATAACGTTTCTACAACTTATCTGGCATGCTACTGCAGTCATAGTATACACTTGGTATTAGTGGTTCTCCCTAATAATCGAAAGTTGTGATACGGCCTATTTACTCACAGTAATCTGTCCGTCGTTTGTTTAGCCACGAGAACTGTCCCAAAATTGGGCCAGTACAGTGCCCCTTAGATTATCATTATTACTCCGCTTACATTATTATGATAGACGTTGCATCTAGTACGAGGGCGTCCCCTCGCAGTTATAGGCACTATAAACAGCAAAAATCAATTGCTATTTACAAAGAAGACGAAGGACTTGAGTGACGTTCTAAAAACGTTCACATTATCATTATCACTCGAGCTTAGTTACTGCGGCGGACACTGAATCTAGCCCGAGTGGTTTCCCACACAATCCTACTCACTGTAAACAATGTGAGAAGCGTATGCATCTTGTTTGTCCTTTAAGGAGAACACTCAATGAAAGGAAATCTTGACATATCTCCGTCAGGTCTATCGCAGGAGTCAATTCTGGGTTCTAGAAGGATCATATCTAAGAGGAAATCTATTCTCTTTTTTGATTTACACATAAATCTTAGTTTGCTACGCACAGACCTGACGAAAATTTATTAATGATGTCGAGGCAGTGTCCTGAAAGGGCAGTAAGGGTATTTCTATGAACCTGACGTCGGTGCAGAAATGACGGAATTCTTACTGCGTCAGCTTGGAATTGCAAGATTAGTGTTGAAACGTGTCAGTTTTAAATAGCAAGTGCAAGTCTAGTAAGCGTGCGTCTATCCCCCCGACATGTCTTCATCAACTACAATGCGAAATCACCTTAAGCATGCCACTCTCTGACGTCAATCCATTTAGGTGGATTTTGCCTAACGGTCTTACTTTCACCGTACTTAAAAACAGCTAGCATACGGCATGCGTAAAATCCATTAAATACGGAACAATTTTTTCTGATAAGTCTCAAAAAATTATTGGAAAAAAGCATTTCGTCTTCCACCAGTGGATGATGCCCGTATAAATAAAAAATGTGCCGTTGGGTGGGCGCAAAAAGAGGTAACACTCGCATTACTCGCTTTAAAGGAACTTAATCTTAAAATGAGGTACCCAAGGATCTCGCATGTTGTTGTAGATAAAGCTTGCATGCATACTGTAATGCATATGCCTTAATTGTTTTAGTACCAAAATTTCGTTTTATGTATTTTCTCGAACAAAACATTGTATAACATCAAATTTACTCATAAAGCAGTCCTGTCGACTTAAACAATCTTTCCTGCCCGGCTTTTTTGCTAGCAATCAGCACTGACAAATGAATAATCGTGCAGACTGCAGTAAGGGCCTTTAAAACGAAACCAATCAAAAAAACAAGTCTCGCCCTTCATCTAAGTGAGATTTAAGTGGAAGACCTAGTTTTATGAGAAAGAATGAGGTAAGTACGCTTTTTATTTCTGAATCACGGTCCAGTTTATGCAGACACGTTTGATAATGGGGAATATGTGTTCTACAAATTTTTCCTTTTCAATTTACATAATTGGCCGAAAACGTTTTAGTTCAAGTGTCAACGCATTGCCTTGTAATAACCGACCTTGAATTGCTTTCCTGCTAGTCAGGTTCACAACCTGATTCAAGAAATATTTTTCGTTTGAAAGTCTACTTAAAATAATGTTAAGCATTTTTTGAATCCTGACGTCTACTCTACCATTTCCGGCAGTGTCTATTCTTTGAATTTTCTCCAGAGAACTTTCTCTCTGTCCAGATTGCCATCTCCATTAACAGATCGAAATACCTTTGTACGGCGATTAAATTATGCTGCTTGACAGTAGGACTAACATTGTGATACTTGGGTCCTAATCTGCCGGTGGTTCCATTTTCGCCCATCGAAAATGCATGGTTAACATTACATTGGTTAACCACTAAGTGCGATAATATGACGATATGATGAGGTTAGTTACCCGCATCTGATGGACACAATGCTGTTGACCTACTTAATTATTTTGAGTGGGTGTGAGCCTGTTGGCATGGTGTCGCTTTGCGTTGCGGTGTGTGTTCTGTTGGCGGACTTGTTTCTTTGTTGCCGTGTCTATCTCTTTGGCCCGATGCTGGTTAGGGTTGGGGTTAGTGGGTTAGAAGTTAGTAATGAGGGTTAGGAGTTAGGTTTCGGGGTTAGGGCGACTATTTCTCAACCGCTCAAAGTGCAACAGGGCATTCTCAATAACCTTTCTTTTGCATGCAATTACTTGACCTCGTCGTCTGTGCGTTCTCCGGCCCCGCCTGTATAAAGCCCTATTACCACCACTCTCGTATTACATGTGGCTGGGGTTTGTTTCCTCTTGGTGGGGCTACATAACCACATCCTGCCATTTTGTATTTATACCCACTTGTGAATGACTCGGTGGGTTTCGAACCCTCAGCATCAGGGACGGGGCTAGAGTACGGTCAACGCTCTAAGCACCTGGATCGAGATACACGCCTGGTCTACTGGTGGCTGGAGCGCTGGTTGTACTCAAGTCTTGCCCTTTCTATCCTACACTCGGTTCCCGAAGAGGCCGCTGAGGTTTTCATAATTTGGGTCGTCAAATGCATTGTGCAAATCTGTTAAGAACACCCATCATTAATACCTCTGATTTCTTTGACGCAGCCGTTGTCTGGCGGTCTTTGTCTAGACACATTAGTGTAAGTTTAAGTAAAACACACCAGCTACTTACCGACCTGACTCTTCGCTTCTACCTCGTAATGAAAGCAGGCGTCCCAAAAATGCATGCGTGCTCCAACGGTTGACAGAGACAATCTGTCATTCTAGACACCAAAGATGTTTTGTAAAATGAGATTTTGTTTACAGTAAGATTGAGCACTCTCATACTTATTTAATGACGTAAAAACATGTTTTCGTGAGATTGCGCCGGACCGCATACCTGTACGCCTTTTACTAAAGCAGCTCAAAAAACAAAATCTACGTTGCAATTCATGCATCTGTCGCTAAAGTGAGAGTAACTGGTCTCAAAAGCCTAACAAAATGTTCCTAAGGTGTTTACTATTCCACTGCTTTGCGTCATTTAAAGTGCTTAAACATAAACAGACAGCAGTTAGAAAGCAAGCATTCGCATAGTGTCTAGACATTATCTGTAGTTTCTGTTGTGTGACAGTCGTTTCACTAGGACGTTAACCGCTAAACTGGAATGAATCAGTTTAAATCAACCAGCCACAGTGGGATAACCGTGTAATATTCGTCAAACTGCCAAGAGGCAGCTAGTAGTTTATGCCAGGGGGATTAGAAAGCGACAGTCTCTACATCAGAGTATTTGCCAGAAAGCATACGGGAATGTTGGAGACACACTGATGAGCCGAACCCCTCGTAGCTATGCCATTCAGCTGCAGAATATCGGCGATACACACGCGTCTGGGTTTTTAGCTGTCACCCGTGCTGTCAGGCGTGGTATCCTGCAACACCAAGGATTTTAAAGTAATCTCGACAAAGGCACTAGTCAACAGCTTAGACACTTGTTTCGTCGATGTTTTTGCTGCTGCATAACACAGCTGCGAAGTTTTCGGCACCTTATTGGTTCCTCCGGCGTCCGCCATGCGCTTTCTAGCAAATGAACTTCAAAGAAATATAAAGTTGGTAATTTCGGAAATTATAGAGTGTCAGACTAGGAGGGAAGTATGCTAGTGTGATTCAAAAATATCCTGTCCCAGACACTTAACTCCAGGCCCTGCTTTTGACAACCTTCTGAAAGTTCTAGCTTGGTTTTATTATACTATCAGAATGCAATATTAATCAACACTAATCTTATTATCACTCAAGGGGCGTATAAGTCTAAAGTAGTTAGATATCGCCTTTTCAGTGTTGTGCCGCAGTACTTGCCGATCGACATTCACCCCGAGACCTGAGTCAGATAGCACACTTTCCTGCACGCACATATATACCTTTTGAGTGGAATATTACTGAATAGCGGAAAATAAAAGTATTCACAGAGCCTGAAAAAAGACGCCAACACGAGTTTGCGTCATTCATTCCGTCCCTGGTT